CGGGCCTTGTCGCCGCGCCTTGTCGCCGCTGCGTAAACGCAGACTGAGCCTCTCCCTTCCCTTCCGTTCCCTGGCCTTGTGGCGGTGTGTAGGGTGCCAGCCTGTAATGGTACAGAGAGCCGCGCTTGGTTCCTCTCTGTGATTAGCTAAAGCATTCCTATAAAGTCAGGTTTTACCCGGTACTTTACATGGTGCTCCGGGTGTGATGTTTTCAGGTTTTAATCCTTTTTTATTTAACCGTAAAGGGTAAATCAGAGTAGTCTTTAGGAAGAAATGCAAAACTCGCTGTGTTGATGGAAGGAGACATTAACTGAAGATGACAGATTTCAAACAGATTAGCTCTAACGTGGTTTTGTAACAAAATATATCAGACTTTTCCCTTTTTTTTTTTGTTTTTCAATTATTTACCTAATAACCTTGGGCGGGGGGGGCTTCAATTTTTCTTGGCTTTAAAGTTCTCCTGAAGATAGGACTCATTCAATCATTGTATCCACTTCACTTACTTGCTTTGAGATGATACAAGATTGAGGGTCTTTATACATATCTGTGGAGCTGCAGCAATTCTGATTCAAGGATACATCACTTGTGCAAATAAAATAGGCATGGTTTTATGTTACTCTCTGGAGTATGGCTCCTGAGAAAGCAATGCTGACTTACAGAGGTGTTTGCTGCATCCTAATGCAAGACTAATTTAATATGTCAAAGATTGTTCAGGGAACATCCTGCCATAATTAATTCAAAAACTGGAATGTAGTGTAAGACCTGACCTGCAACACGTGTTCTTTAGTATGTATTTCATGTGGATGTTATTTATTAAGAATTTTTAAAAAATGAAGTTTTCTGCCTGCTTTTGGATTTACTTTAGCAGTTACCTTCTGAGAACTGACTGAAATGTTTCGCAGATCTTGCTAGGTCACAGTCCTCGAGTGAAAGTTGCACATCCCAGTAATTTCAATGCTACTTATAGATAAATATGCTACTGGTAGTACCCTCTTCTCTACTTGTGACCTTTAAATAGGATCCCTCTTACAGATTCTGGACCTGCAAGCTTTTTTAACACATCATGACCTTGAGTATTAGCAGTTTTATTAGAATACACAAGAAACATAATGTAATATGGGCTATGTCTCTTAGCTAAACTTCACTCGTTCTTAGCTAGATACATTTAAATTAGACTTGTTGCTGTTAGAATACAAAAATGAGGTACTTTTTGTTTGTAAGTCAAGAAATCCATAAAAGATACAGTCTATCATTAGCATTAATATGGATGTCGAAACTATATTTATGTTCTTTTTATTCGTTTGTTGTTGATATTTGTCAAAGGGAAACTTTAATTAGTTTCAGCCTAGATAGCCTAAGCCATCTGTCATCCTTGTAAAAGTTGACCTGAATCCTGAAGTAACGCCATTTAACTTTCGTGTCAGTCTGGTGCAGCCATGTGGAACTTCTGGTTCATTTTAGAAGTGGAGGTTTTATTGCATTACATAATAAAGTCAGTACAAAGTTAACTGTATTATTTAGTTTTCATTACATTCAGTGCATGTCACCTTGTGCTTCAGGTTTTAGTGTGGTGCAGAATTTTATACTGGAAACAAATAACTGTTGCATAGATTTTTTCACATGAATAAGTCTGACCTGCAATTGGCACTACATTTGTATCGAGAAGAACTGGAAGTACGCAGTCACAAAATCTCTGTCAGTGCTACTGTGGAGAGCTGCTGCCAGTTTAGACCCTTGGACTGAAGTGATCCAGAACTGGACGGGGCCTTCTCTGTTGTTGACTTTCAAGAAGGCAAGGACATTAGTTTCTTTCCCTTTCCATTCACTTTTGTATGTTTTTCCTTATTCTGTGTTTTATTTTATGCACAAGCCTGTGTTGCCAGGGTTCTGGAGATGGAAGGGATTTGGAAGGAGGAACCTTTCAAGACCCCATCGGATAATTTAGGTACAATTCTTTATGCCCATCACTTAAGGTGATCTGACCGCAAAGAGTGTGTCCTTGAAAAGGACTTGTAAAACAGCATGAATATAGTATAATAGAAAGGTAAGTTCATGGCTATACAGTACTTGGAAGGAGAAGATGAACTGAACATGTATTTTAGCAGTGTTCCTGTTTAACTTTTTTGGTTACAGAACTGTAACGTGGATAGCTGAGGGCATACACAGATTCAGCAGTCAACCTCTTTATTGCGTTTGAGAAGGAGATATGCCAGTGCTCATGTGCTGTCATTCAAGGAGTATAACAACACTGCAGTCACCACTGGGACTCGCCTACTGTAGCTGATTAGCATAGTCTTCAAACACTCCCAAGAATCTAAAGAAGCACTTGGGAAATTGATTAGTGTTGAGTTGTGCTTAACTGTAGTTACACTGCTTCAAATATACAAACTAGCTCTTTTAAAGTCCACGCAACTATAGTAACTAAAATCTGCCCTCCTGGGATTGCAGTATAAACTTGCAGTAATATTTCAGTTACCACTTGCATGGGAATTTTTGTGACTTCAGAGCAAGAAGAAATATCAAAAGGCCTACTGCAGTATTTGTTTTGTTTCATGCAAAGTTGTATGCAAAAATTTATAGTTAGGAAGAGGTCTGTTGCCAGCATGGGCGGATAATACACTGAGTTAATGAGAGGTTTATGGGCTGTGGGCCTTCTCTTTTTTCTTTGCTTTTATTTTTCTTGGGCATTTTTCAGAATCAAGTCACTGCATACAGTCGGTAAATATTATTGAGGGTGCTCAGGAGGTTTCTGTATGTTCTAAAATGTAGAAATGTAACCATGTTCTTGGCTGATCAAAATTAGGAATGTTGTAGCTTGCACTAGCGATATTTTGAACCAAGTAGACACTGAGATGTTAATTTAGGGTGATAGCTGGTAAGATATATATATACATACATGTGTTTCAGTGGACATTCAGTTATACCAAATTGTTTTTCAGCTCATCTGTTCCAGAGCTTCTGCTAATATTGCTGCACTGGTACAGTTATAGAGGTAGACGTTTCTGTGGAGGTGCAGTGTATTTTGGGAAAATAAGCTTTTCTGATGATGCATGGGGAAGTATAGATTGATGCTAAACAGAATTAACTAAGCTGACAACAGCAGTCCCCTGCTAACTTAGCTGCACTCACACCAGGAGTGTTCGCTGATAAGGTTGTGTAAGCTAGGGAGTGTGCTTTTTCATGCTTACATCGCTGTGTCAGCAACACACTGTAGTGTAGCTGCAACTGCAAGGTGTGGTTTAAACTGACTTACTCTACAAGCTAACAAGACTACGTCTCTCTCTATGCATTTTTTTTGTTTGCTTTAAATCAATAAGAAAAAAAATTAAACTGAATTCAAATGAGATGCTTCCATGTTGAAGCATTAGTTTCTGCACACATGGTTACTGCTTTAACCAACTGGTGGAAGTGCTTCTGAATGTGGCACACAGGGCTTTCTGTGGTGGCTGATCACTGTTTCTGTTTGGTCCATGCACATGCCTTTCTACTGAGCCATTGTATCCATCTACTTTACTGTAAACACCATGGAAGAAGCAGTTCTTTAAAATGAAATTGAGGAAAAGGAGTGAAGTTGCCAAGGAAGTATTCTGTGCAAAAAGAGAAGGGTAGTGGAAACAGACAGAGCCACTTAGACTAGGGAAGACAGTAATCCCAGAGGGTACAGAGCTTAGTGGCAAAAAGATATGAGGCAAAGTAAGATAAATGGGAGAAGGAATCATGTAGAACCATGGAAGAAGGAACAAAGGGAAGTTAAAGAAGAGGGACAGCTAATAGCTAGCTTGAAAGAGGTTAAACATGGACCATCAAATCATATAGTCACAACAGCTTTGCAGTGCAGTGTAATTTTCCTCCAGAAAACTGGAGATGAAACTAGGGGGAAGGAATCAACATGAGAGAGTAATGGCCAGGAGGAGTCATCACTGCAGACGGGCAATCATCATAGCATTTTGTATCTTTTTCTCTGTAAGTGGACTTCTCTATTGCACGTGAATTGAACAAGATTTTGAAAATAAGAGTGGACTTGCCAAAAACATGCTGCTAGTGCACATGTATGGAATTGTGCACACTTGCACTCAGTATTCAGTAACAGTGAAAGAAGACTGAAACAGAAAAGAGCATAAATAAATATGTGCTGTCTCTGGGTAAAAGTCTTTGTGTCTTGTTTCTCCTTCTAGAAGAGTGATCAATGTGGGTAGTTTTCAAAAGCTGTCATTCACTAAAATATTAGTAACACTGCTCATGTTTACATTTCATGCATTTTTAGGTGAAAGGTTTTAGTTTTATTTTTATCAGTGTCACAACCTCAATTGATAATCTGACGCTGTCTGTTGGACATAGCCTGGAACAGCACTCTGTCCAAGGACAGCTTGCTCACCAGCAGTCCAGGGGATGAAACTGCTCTTCCCTGGAGCCTGATGCAACTTGCAGTTGAGGCATAAATGACTCCGAGGAGGAAGGATGCTTTGTAAGTGGAAGTCTTGGGTAGAAGACAGGGAAGTGGGCAAAAGCAACAGGTCGTCTTTCCAACATACTTCTAGTTCCTTGAAGTTTCACCTTATTATGCTTCCAGTACATACAGCGAAGGTTTAAACATAGCATTGCAGCATGACAGAGCTTCAAACACGGAGAAATAAATCAAT